CTCTGGGTCTCAGCTCCCAGGCAGAGGGTGACAGCAGGGCCAAGGAGCCGCGCTGTCCCCAGGGGCCCCGAGCACCGTCTCCTCTCATCCCAAGGAAGCGCAGCATTCCTGTGGCATTAGCAGCTCTCCCTGCACATAGCTGCCTCCTCCCATCAAATTACAGCCCCAGCACAACTCACACATTGCAGTCGTGTTGCTAAAGTCAATCGTTTACCCAAGCAAAATAAACATTGGCAGGGCAAGGCATGGGACTGTGTTGGTGCAAGCCACCCTCAGCCCTGGGTGGCCACACTGCTGGGCCAGCGCCCCAGGTCTGCTGGGTTGTCCTTCTGCCTTTCTTCCCCAAAGCAGATTTCCATCCCCCCCACCCTTCTGTGGAAGTAACACCCTAAAGCAGCTGTGACACAACCTCATTCATAGCAATAATGAAATATTGCAATCTCATTTATAGCAATAATGAAATACTGAAGTTCAGGGCAAACAGGCCTGAGGTGAAAACAGGGACAAGAGATGTGGTCAATTGTCTGGAAGGACATGGCTGTGTTTTTCCTCTGGACAAGCAGCACTAAATATTTTGCTCAACCAAGGCTTGTAACAACAGAAAAACTAAGAAAATGAACCTGTCAGCTAGAAACCCAGGGTATTCTGGAAACAGCTCGAACACAAACATCTGTTTGACACACTCAAAGGAGTCTCCCCAAGGGTTCTGAGCCCTTGATGCCATAGCTACTGCAGATTCAGCAGGACTACAGGTGCACAGAAGGCAATGGAAATATGGGTCTAAGAACCCAGCGACAGGAAATGCTCCCAGGTGTTAACAGATTCTGTTTCCAACTGATCTGTAACCTAGAGATGAAAAAGAAACATTTTCCACCTCCACAGTGTAGCAGCAGCAGTTGTTTCCCACTGAAAACTGTGAGGACACAGTACATCCTCATGTTTTACCCCAGGCCTGGGAACCTCCAGAGCTGCCAATAGCTGGGTTTCAGCCAGGAGCTGGGGTGATGCCAGCTGTCCCCACACCCACGGCCACCCAGCCCATAGGTAACCCACACCTGCACTCACATCACATCAGGCATCACTGACAGCCCCCTTATCCTCCTCCTCTGTCCTGGCCATATCCCAGCATCCAAAAAGGACTTCTCCAAGATATTCTCCACTGCTTACTTATAGGCTTTGGCTTCCTGGAGGGTGAACAAGGGAAAAAAATAAGGTTAACCCCTTCCCTTCAGTCAGCTTGGTGGCTTGGACCATGCTGTCACCCAGGGAAAAGGATGGCTGGGAAGAGCCACCTGGCCCCTGTGCCTTGGCCCTATGGCACTGGCAGCATAAAGCCACTGGCTGCCCACCCTTTTGCAAAAGGAAAGCAGGGAAGGTGGTGGCTGCAGGGAGAAGACAAAGGTAGCAGCCAAAACTTGTCACTAGGAGAGAGCAGATACACTGGGACTATTTAGGCTTTTTCCATCCTTAGGACAGGAGGTTGGGAAGCCGGGAAAACTGCTGCCAGGCTGGACTGCCTTAACATACTGCCTGTCCTCCCAGTCAGACAGCAAATGCTGCAGGGTGAGGAGCTGTGGGTGGATTTCACTGTTGGCTAAAACAGAGGAACAACTGCACAAGGAATGTAACACGACATGACAGGCCAGCGAGTGGGTGAGCAGGCTGAAAAAACAGTCACCCCTGGAGGATCAGCCTGGCTGAGCCCCCACACAGAGGATGTGCTAATAATGAATGAAAACCACCCTCAGGAATCCATGTATCTGTGCAACTCCAAATCAGCTGTTTTCACCACATGTGTAGTGAACCTCTGGTGCCCAAAAGCATTTAAGTAATGTGACACAAGTACACGTTGTCTGAGGGAAAAAAAGCAATTAACTTTTTTTTTTTTTTTTAATCAGGCAAAAAGTCCTTTACCAGTCTCTAGAAGTCCCTAGATCTGTGTGCTCTAACCTCCCCAGCAGAGACAGGAGCTGTGCAGGCAGGTGACAGCAGCCCATGCCACCGGACACTGCCACAGTTCTCAGGCCATTTATCTGCTTGCCTTTGCTGTAAACTCCTTCCCTGGTTTGCAGCTTTATCAGTGTATTTGAGGCCTCTCCTCAGCCCTCAATAAAACTTTGCTGTGTGAACCAAGTGACTGCAGGAAGCTCAAATTTTGTACACACTGCCCTAATAAAACCTCTAAATGAATCTGCCAGCAGGGCAGTGTAACATGAGCTAAGGTACATCAGATAAACACTTCACCAAGCCAAAGCCTCTGTGGTGCAGAAACACCTGCAGCAGCCTTGAAACCTGTTCAAAGCAGAACTTGTGTTCTGTTGCTGCTTCTTTTTGACCACACTACTGAAAGGCAGTGAAGGGGGACAGAGGAATGTGTCCAGCCCTACTTTTTATCATAACTGTGGACATCAGTGTGCCCAGTGAATACCTTGCCCCATCAGCGCATTTTGCAGGGCTTTGATTTCCCCATCCCAACTCTGTGCTCTTGGCTTTCAAAGCAACGTCTCACCTTTGCCAAATGAGATGATTTGATATTTGGTTACACGCCCTTTGCTCTTTTTCTTTTTTAAATCAGAGAAAGGAGCCAAACTGGAACTTGATACTGAGTCCTCTTAATTGCAAAGGGGAGAAATAATCTGCAGCAAGTATGACGTACAGCAGCAGCAAGCATGATATGTAAGCTGATGTACAGCAGTTGTTAAGCATTGAGATGCTTCTGAGCTCTTTGTCTTCCTGCAGGATACCAAACACTTCATCATGAGAGTTCTGAAGTTTTTAAACATCAAAGATGACAGAGCTCTGCGTAATAGGAATAGCTTCAAGTGGGCCACAGCTGTCAGTTCCCCCTCCTGGGCTCTCTATACATAATGCCCCCAAAAAGGATCTCCAACCTCACTTCACCAACAGAACTTAAATGGTTACACAAAGCAGGAGGATGGAGACCCACCCACAGACACACACTCCCCTCCACAGCTTTCCCTTCTGGGCTGGGACAACTGTACAGAGGAAAGCTGTGAACAGAGGTGTCACAGGGTTAGCAAATGCAGTAGGTGGTCACTGATGTCCAGGCAGCGTCCTGCATAATCACCACGTGTGCAGGGTGTACACAACAAACCTGACACCAACCTGCTGTGGAAGCTCACAAAATTCCTGTCTCTTGCTACACAATGATGCCTGGATTAAGGTTACGTTCCTCTGTGCTGCATTTTGTCACGCAGCCGCTATTTTGGTCAGAAAGTCAGCAAGCCCTTATTTGGGAAGCTGTCCCACTGAAGGGCAGCATGAAGGGCAGTGAGATGAAGAGGCTGCTTCTGAAGGCAGGCCTGAAGGAGTTCCCTGGAGCCACAGGAAGCCCAAATCTTGCCCTCTGCTTCTCGTCAATGTTCCAACATCCTTTTCTCAGCCTGACCCTTGCCTCTCTCTTCCCTCAGACTGCATCTTGTGGGTGACCTACTCCCACAACACAAGCACTCCAGGGAAAACATCAAGGGGAAAGATTTCGTCGAGATGAAATCTCCCTTCTTATATGGAAAAGTTTTAGTGCCAGAGATTTAAAATGCAGTACTTAAACTGCACAGAAAATTTGAAGACACACAGGTAAGGGGTACAGACTGACAAACAGCGAGTGCTCTATTCAGAGGCTTTTCTTTCACTCTTGTAACACACATCTACACCAGACTGACCACACTGACCACTGCTGGACCAGCCACTCCCATCTCCTTCAATACCTGCAAAAACTCCACTCTCTGTGTGCCTTAACCATCCAGCAAACAGCAGAGGGAACCTTGCCAATGAACTCTGTCGTGCTGTCACTTAATATTAAATGTGGTTTTTACTGATACCTTTGCTGGTGATCCTGTAAGTTCCTCAATGTAACAGGCTGACAAACACCAGCCTCCACAAAACCCAAAGAGATGCACACAGCAGGAATGAGACATCTGAGGGCTACAAACACCCCTGACTTTACAACCTCCTTGACTTGCAAGTTTCAAATTAGTAAATCTCTTTACATTGCTTAGTTTAGGGCTGGGTGGGTTTTTCTAATCAGTCAAAACCAGTTAAAAAATGGGAACTGGGAAAAGATTTTTGAATTTAAGCCAGAAAGAATTCAAACTAACACAAAATTTTGGTAATTGGCTTAACTATTCAAAAAATAAACTACATGGACTGGGTGTTCCAGTTAAAATTATATTTTTCATCCAGCAAGTGTTTTGCTGCTCTAGTGCAGTCAGAAGGGGGGTGCGAACTTCCAGCCCTCGTGTGGCTCCACGGATTTACCCCACCGGGTGGACAAACCCCGGAACTGCAACTGCAGAACAGCTGGGTGCATTCCAACAGGTGCCTCATGCCAGAAGTGGAAAACTCGGCCCGAGTCAGCTTTGAGGCGGCCCTGGAGAGCAAAGCCCTTTCCTGATGTACAAAACAACAGGAGCAAAACCCGGGCTCAGCTCCTCCTGGGATTCTGCATGTTATTCCCCTCATATCCCCAAGCCAGCATGTTTTATCAGACAGTACTTTTGCTACTGGAATGAAAGACATTCTCTAAAATCAGTTACTATTAAAAAAATGTGTATTTTGTGTATTACTAAACCCTTATATGTTCCCATGGATAGCTCCATTAATGCTTCAGTACCTACAAGTATTTCAGGATACAACACACACGCAACTCTAACACAAACTCCTGTGGTCTCCACCACCACAGTCAGCACTCCTTACCCTTGTATTTCCTGGGATTACCACAGCTGTACGAACTACACAGCAAAGCATGTAACAGCCCCTGGAAATCTCACCTTGCTGTAACAACACCATGAATTACCACTAAAGTCATGGTACCTGAGAAAGAAAATGTCACCCCAATTTTCCAAAAGCACAAGGAGGATCTAGGGGACTACAAGACAGTCAGGCTCCCCTGGATTACTACTCACAGGCTTGATGCACAGCTGGCAGCTAAAATGCAACTCAAACAAGGCTTGTGGAGGGCTCTCCTCACATTCAGGAAGTGAACACTTTGTTACATACAATTTTATTTTAAAAAAATGCTGTAACACACATGCCAGTAAGAAAACTGGGTCTTCTTATTGAAGCACATCAGTCCTTTTTCTGCTGAGCAGTCTGCTGAGCTGCCTGCTGAGCTGCCTGCTTGGCATTGTTGGCCTGCATCTTCTTCAGCCCTTTTTTGTTGTGTTTCTTTGCAAATCTCATGTTCCTCAGAAACTTGGGATCAACCTATAAAGGAAAAATAAGCCATGTTGCAGAAGAGATATATATATATAAAAACATTTATAACTCCATATTGTTCCAATTATTCCCAAATACAGGCTGTGACTAGCTCAGACTTTTTTCTAATTTTTAACAAAATTATTTTTGTCATCTGCAACCAGGCTTTAACAGCTATTTCCTTATCCACCATAAAAAAAAAAATCAAACCCCAAGAATAAACATAAAGAAAGAAAAGGATGGGCAAAGCTGCAGGAGAGGCAGGACTGAACCCTCAATGAGCTTTGCAGAAGACATATTTTTACATCACTTCCAAAAAGCTTTGTAGATAATGACATCTACAAAGAAAATAAAACACAACCCTCCCCTAATACAAAATTTGCTGTTTTCACTTTCGAGTGTGGAAAAAGATCCTGTTGTACCATTTGGATAATCTCAGAAAAAGCAATATACTGTCACTGTCATGTGTTTTCCTCAGAAATGCCAATTCCTCTGATTTTGTAAGTGAAATTATCTGGATTAGTATAGGTAGTAAAACAATATTGAAGGAGAGAGAAGAGGAGAAGGCGAGGAGGAGAGACAGCAGGACTCAAAAGGGAAAGGAACCACTTCACTGGCAAGTGTTTGTTTTACTGGAAACAGCACTCATTGACAGCCACTGAACAGGACAGGGACAGATCTGGCCACTGACTAAAATGCAGTTTTATATACAAAAGGGGCAGATTTCATGTGGGTTAGAAACATCCCAGTTGCATGTCAGGTAAGTAAAAGAACTGAACCCCACAGCGCTTCTGACCACCTGGAACACAGGCCTCTGGCTGCAAAAAAAATGTCGGTCAAAATAATACAAATTCTGGATTTTTTTCACAGTTAAGCCCCAGTGACCCAACAGCCTGGGAATATCAGTAGAAATACTCACCCCTTTGAGAGATTCATATCTATGAGTTTTGGGCTTCTTGATGCCATTTCTGTGCCACTTACGGGCTATGTGGAAAACAAGACAATTCCTTTACTTACAGTTTCTGCTATTATTTACCAGCTGTATTAGTCTGTTTTTAAGTGTACCTGACTATCAAAATGATGTGGAATACACAATTTTCAGACCCTTCCTATCCAAACTACATTTCAATTAAAACCACATCTCTATGCTCATCCCTCTACATTGGCTTCCAATCCAAACATTTCAGGCACCTCATTAACTAATAACACACTGACAGCACCACCAGCAAGCAGCCTCACTCATTAATAAATCCAAGCACTCGTGGCCAGTGTTAGAGGGCACTGTCACCCACTGTGCAGGACCAAGCACAACCTACTCGTGACCTCTACTAAGTCACAGCACTGATGAGAAGACCTCAGGCATGAACTATTTCATCACTGTGGCCATCTCTGGATTGCACAGGATCCCAGAGATTAAGCTTTTCAGGAACATCAGAGAATGACAGGATGGTTTGGGCTGGAAATAACTTTGAAGACCATCCTGTTCCACCCCTCTACCAAGGGCAAGGACATCTCTCACCAGACCAGGTTTCTCCAAGCCCTGTCCAACCTGGTCTTAGACACTTCCAGGGATGGAGCAGCCACAGCTTCCCTGGGCAACTTGTGCCAGGGCCTCCCCACCCTCGAAGGGAAGCACTTTTCCCTAATATCGACCCTAAGCCTAATCTCTGTCAGTGTGAATCCATTCACCTGTGTCCTGTCACTGCCTGCTCTTGTAAAAGGCCCCTCTGTCTGCTTAGTTGGTGATGATCACCACAGAATCACTCAGGTTGAAAAGACCTCCAGTATTTTCGAGAGTCTAACCTATGACCCAACACCTCTCTGGGCAGCCCATTCCAATGTCTAAGCACCCTTCCCGTGAAAAAATTCTTCCTGATGTCCAACCTAAACCTCCCCTAGCACAGCTTAAGTCTAGGACACATCAGTGTCCTGTCATCTTATTGCTGGTTACCTGGGAGAAGAGACTGACCCCCAGTTTTTTAAAGTAAAAGTTCCTATTCTTCTGTTTACGTATTAATTCTACATTGAGCCCAAGCAAGTCCCGACTCAACACACTCCTTTAAACGCCCCCATTCGATCTCTGTGCAGCACCACCTTATCTCGCTGCAACCCCCCGGCCAGACCGTGCTGCCATCACCGCGCCGCTCCCAGCCCGGTTAAACCCTCCTGGATCCCCGCCCCGCTCACACTGATTGTGCGTGGTGTGGTTCTTGGACTTGGCCATGGTCGCACCTGCGGGAGAAACACACAAGGCTCAGCCGGGCCGGGCTGGTGAGGGTCGCCCGGCTTCCGCAGAGCCCGCCCGGCGCCGAGCCCCGGCTATGGCCCCGCTCCGACAGCCCCGAGCCCCGGCTATGGCCCCGCTCCGACAGCCCCGAGCCCCGGCTATGGCCCCGCTCCGACAGCCCCGAGCCCCGGCTATGGCCCCGCTCCGACAGCCCCGAGCCCCGGCTATGGCCCCGCTCCGACAGCCCCGAGCCGGCCTCCGGATGGTGGCGGATGGTGGCGGGGCCGCCCTTACCGGAGCCGCGCTCGTCTCCGCCGCCTCTGGACCGGAAAAGAGAGGACACCGCGGGGGCAGCCGGGAATCGGGGCCGGACCGGAACCCCACGTCCTGTAGTTCCGCCCGGCAGTTTCCCCGTTGCTTTCCCGCAGCGCCGCTCTTTGCTCGCACCTCTCTGGCTCCCGCGGCCGCCGCTCCCGCTCCGTGAGGGAGCTGAGGCCGCACTGCTCCCGCCCCGGGAAGGCCCCGCCGCGGCAGGGCCCGCAACACCCAGCGACGTGGCGGACCCGGTCCCTCAGCGACGCGGTTCCCCCAGCAACGCGGTCCCCAGCAACACGGTCCCCCCACTTAACGTGCCCCCCGACCATGGCTTCTGCCGGCCGGGGCGAGGGAGCCGAGAGCCGAGGCCGCCCTGCCCGGGGCCCTGCCCGACCGCCGCGGGAGCCTGAGGCCCTCGGCCCCATCGGAGTCCGGGCGTGGTTTGTCTGCGCGTTCCGCCGCGCTCGGGCAGTACAGTCACACACAGGCAATGCTCCTCAGCGCGGGTTCGTTCAGTGCCGTGCATCTTTATTTGCGTGAAGAGGCTCGAACTGCTCTGATTGCTTTCAGACAGTGGATCTGGATGTGCCGCCTCGGTGACCCCCAGAACCCCCCATGCTCAGCAAAGATGTGGGACAGTGCAGGGGTTTGTGCCTTGTTCTGACCATGCTGGCCATGCTGAGGCTAAAGTTTCAGTCCTGCAAAAGATACGGACTGAGACTTAGGTATTTTAGTATATGAAAGATACTAAAATGATGACAACGATGGGAAAATTTCCTTGTGGAAAGGGTAGACATTGCAATGGTTTGCCCAGCATGGTGGAGGAGCCACCGACCCTGGAGGTGTTCAAGGAAAGACTGGATTTATGGTTATGGGTTGAAACATCTCCCATGGTGAAGTGTCACAGGAATAAGGGGAACCAAAGACCAAGCTTGCCCAAGCCCCTTGGATTGTGTCTGTTGACCAACTGTAGAATTTCTGGCTAAGGCTGCTGTCATTTGAAATGGGAACCTCTGAAAAACGAGCAGAAAAGGCTCAGGCTCTTCTGTATTGTGGGAACATACTGCAATCTTTTTATGGCATTGCCTGTATTTTACAATGAGAGGAACAAGTGAATTGCTTAAAGTAACAGACTGAAAAAAATAGCCTAGAGACTATTTAGTGTTGTCAGTACAGAGAGTGAACTGGACATTTTTTTTCAGCGGCTGATTGCTTGCAGAGCAATTGCTACTCTGCCTCAAGTTCAGATACCTATAAACAAGCTCTTCCTATTATAAAAACAGGGGAAAATAGATTATCCTTGGTAGCTGGGCAGTGCTGATGAGAGTGAAATGAAAATATGCAGGAAAAAGAAAGTTAATGCAATTTAATTTCAGTATTTCTCTTATTTTGAGCAAGACCTAAGATGTTTGGCTTCACTTCCCAGTCCCATCCCCATTCTAGGTGGCTTTTGTGTAAAAATAGATGAAAATAGCAATATTCTTTTAGTGGCACTTTGCAGCTAGAATATGAAGGTCTGCTCAAAATCCTCTTTGATATGCAAACATCTGACTTGATTTTTTTTAAAATTCCTTCCACTGTAGTGAGCTGCAGTCTTAAAATATTTGTACATCACTGTGGCCTGCTAATTGCAGCCAACAGTAGGGAGAAACCCTGACTTTCCTGATAACACAAAGAGCCAAGCTAAGTGGAAGACAGAACTGAATCCCAGAGGTGTGTTTGCCTCCTTTGTATTTCAAAAGGCAGAAAGGCTGCCAGCCCCCTTAGCTTGGACATTAGATAATGAAAACTCTTGATCTTTTTAACTAATTTCTGAGCCTTCCTCCGCAGGAAGAAACAGAAGAGTTTACTTCAGGGCTGTATCTACCTTTTCCAAGTTTTTTGAGGGTCTTGCTGCAATTATTGCTTTTGGAGTTCCCTGGGAGTCTTTCCCAGCTACTGCTAGCCCACCCAGATAAGCAGTCAGATAGGTGGGGATTAGAGAAGCTGTGCTTAATGCCTAGGTGATTGCAAGATCCATAAGCCAAATTATTAAAATAAAACCGTGGAAGAACATTCAGTTCATGGGGCTGAGCATAACATATTTAGGGTAGCTTGTAAATCACTGCAAACCAATGCAGAGTATGAGGTGAAAAGGATGATCCAAGGCAAGATCAGGACCTGTGTACACTGCTGAGTAATCAAGCCCCCTTGAACTTCTCCCGTGCCCTGACGAGCTGCTGTGCCTCTAACTATGGTGTTACTGAGGATGATTGGCCAGTTCAAAACCTTTAGTCATGCTTCTAGTGATTACAGACTTAATTAGTGCATGTTAGCCCAACTGTCCTCTATTAAAAGAGCTGTTAAATTAAATAGGATATTAATTACTTCAGCTGCAAAACAGTTATGAAAAAATCATAACATAAAAATCTCACAGTGCCTTTGACAACTGTATCTCAGTCACTGTCCTTGCATCATGGACACTTATGCTGATTGATCTCTGTCAGGTTTGTCACGGTTTTCATGCTGACACATTTCAGCAGCCTCCCCTAACTTGCCTCCTCCCTCCCTGTGAGGTGACTTTGACTTGGGGGTAAAGAATTACCGTGGCTGCCCCATTCAGTCATGCCAGGGACTGTCCATTGTCCAGCATGGTGCTGGTGTCACAGCTGAGCCAGGGTGAGTTTTACCAGGGCTTCAACAGAGGCTGGAGCTGGTCATTTCCTAAAACATGAAGAAATTTCCTCATCATTTTCACAGGAAGAAGACAAGGAAAGGCCATGTTCATGTAGGATGGACACAGTGTGACAGCACAGCTCCCCAGTGCCCTGAACACAAAACTGGTGACAAGCACGTTCAGGTGTTGATCAGGAGTCCAGCTGACTTTGCTTGGACGGACTGCAGGGCACCCCTAAAAACTGCTCCCTCGTGGGGAGGTATCAGGCAGTGGAGAGAGTTCAGGGGTGCTTTTGGCTATCCCTCATGGCTCACACAGGATTTCAACACTGGGCTGCTCCCAGGGCAGCTCAGGCACTTCATCCATCCCCAGCCATTTCCACCTCACTCTGCAGCTCACACTGAAGTGCAGCTGTAGCATGCAGGGCTGTGCCTCATCAGGGAGAGCACCCTGTGGGATATGGCCACCTTCATCACCCTCCCTCACCCCAGCAAGCAGAGCCGGGACTGGGCTGTCTGGCAGGTCCCCGAGAGGTCCCTACTCTGGCAGGTGCCGGTGGCTTTGGGGCGATTTTAGGGCTGTTCCTAACCTGTGAGCAAACAGGCTGTGCTGTAAAGCTGAGTGGTGCTGGAGCAGAGCGAGGGCGATGGATGGACAGTCCCCGGGGACAAACGGCCGATACGCCTCCGGAGAAGCCAGGAACAACGGGGCATGGAGGCACTAGAGGGAGCCTGAGCATAACAGATCCTGCTCTGGCTCAAAGTGGGAGAATTAGTCCCACTCAGGGAGAAGGGGCATCACCAGCCAGTAACATCAAGTTTCACGCAGCAGGTTCCCCCATGACCTGGCATCCTACCTGGCTGTGCCTTTTTTTTTTCCCCTGACAGCTGTTATAATTTCTTTGAAGGCATAAAGAAAGAGTTTCATTGATGGAAAGTGCCAGTCTGCCAGCGGAGAGACAGCTGGCTCTGAGCACTTGGTATAGGAAGTGGGAAAAATCACTGGCAACTGGTGGCAATTGTCAGATGGGAAGGTTCAGGAGAAAAGGAATTCTTGCAAGCCAATGGAGAGCAGAAGTGCTGATCCACAGCTGCAGATATCCCTATGGGAAGGGGAGCTGTCACAGCGCAGCCTTGCAAGTGCTCCAGAGCTGATGGCAGGGACATAGGATCAGTAGCTGTGGTTTGTGTCCTCCACTGGTGCACTCCAGTTAGCACCAGTTAGGAGAGCTGAGGCTCCAGAAGAGGCTGGAGACCTGCAATCTTTTATTTTATTTTTGGATGTATCTGTTCCCAGTGCATCAGAAAAGTGCATCTTTTACAATGTTTTCAAGGGGCCAAAATTCGCTTTTAACAGGGTACTCAGGTTCAGCTCAATAGAAATCAGAGGAGATGAGAGCAGGGACCAGAAACAAATCCTCCATCACCCCTGGCTGCTGTTGGAGGCTTTCATTCTCCCCTCAGACCAGCCCAGACCCTCCATACATATTGCACAAGCGTGTTTCTGTTAGCAGCTTCCTACCATGAAGGCAGGAGGAAAAATCAGGCAGCAGCCTGCAATGCAGCCCTGACCTTTCTCTCCAGGACTGCCACCTCCTCCCACTCTCCCCGGAGCTGGCACTACTAACAACTGGTTTCCTCTTGTTATTTTTCCACCTCCACTCCTTCCTCCAGAGGGGAGGCTGTGCTGGTGGCCCACGTACCGGTGACTCACAGGCTGGGACCTGGGAGTCTTTCCTGGCCAAACTTAGAAACATCTCATTTTCCATTGCCTACACCCTGGATGCTGCTTCTGGCTGGGTTCATCACTGGAGATCATCTCCAGCTACCTGTGGGGTTTGGGAGGACCAGCAGGAGTTGGGCTGAGATGGAGCAGCCCTTGATGCAGATAAATTCCACCTTGTGGAATCTGGTCAGTGTTTATCCAGCTTGCTTATAGCTGACAGCCACGAGATGTTCTGAACATCAAAGAGGGCTTTTCGTGCTTGGGAAACGCATAAATAAAGACATATATACAGGACTGCATGGCCGTTCCATTTTTCTGGAATCATTTGGATCATTTGAGGGGAGCTTAGGGGTTTAAAAGCTGATTCTCCATCTGTGTCAATCAGCCTGGTCCATCTGCTGGATGTCCTCAAATCAACAGACGACAACTGCAATCACATAACCGAGCCCGGGGCACCTGCAAGGTGGGGAGCGATGGCTTGCAAAGGTGAAGGTGCTGCCGCGGTTGGATGCTGGGAATGGGAAATAGCTGGGTGATGACCGGGCTGGCAGCATGGAGCAGGCAGAGCAGGGAGATGCAGCTCCTGGGCAGCTGCATCCCGTGGAGCAGGACCCTGCAGCTCGGTGCGGGGGACAGCGCCAGGAAGGGAGCAGCCACGTGTGCGCAGCCCACGCTTAGTGCTTTAATGGGATTTTCCAGAACA